AGCGAAATAAAGTTCTAGTGGATTCTGTTAAAATGTTTTAGAAATTGTTTTATTCACGATTTGTTACGTTTTGAGATTTCTAGCATTGTTTTAAGAATACATATTATTTGTTTACGAAAATAAATGTTTTAAATATATATTAATTAAATTGTCAACATTTTAAAGGTTTATTATAAATCATAGATTTTATTTGTATATTCTTATTTTTTTATTTTAAAAGAGATTGTATTCTTTATGTAAATGTAATTTTGTGTATCTGTTTTTTATCGTAATGTCTTTTGATCTTTTGAAGCAATTTTTATGATTTAAACAAAGACTTACAAACATAATTGCACTTTCAAAGTTATAATCGTTAAAGTTAATAAAACTAATTATGTAAAAAACGTATAAGAAGTTTCTGGTTACTAAACACAAACAACGCATACAAAGTAACTCGCGGATGAACAAGCATCGCGCCTGAGGTCACGACAGAACACAAATATATAATAGCAAATAATTAGATATAAAGAAAAGTTTCTAGATATTGGTTTACTAACTCTAATTATTTTCGCTTAAGTTGCCATTCTTAAAACTCGTTATACTTTTTTCTGCTTTAAATACTAATTAAAATTAAAAAGCCCACTCACTAAACATCATCAGCGATATTGTGAAGCAGTTTCGCTTCCTGGTCATTAATTATTTTTAACCTTTTTAGTTGATTTCTATCTTGATAATTTAATTCCTATAGTAATTCAATGATTTAATTATTTCATTTGTTTATCTTACTAAGAAGAATCGCTTTAAATATGTTAAACTTTTCTAACTACGCGAAACATAAAATAGGTATTAAAAAAACTTTTTTATTTATAAAATAATTTAGCTTAAGTAAAACTAAATCGTGCAAACTTAGTTAAATAAAGAATATTTGTTTCCCTTTTAAACAATCGTAAGTTGTTACAAAAAACATCGCTTAATTTTATAAAAAAAATTATAAAAAAGCGATGTTTCGAAAATATTTGTTTTAAATGTAAATTATTTAGCTTAAAGTTTTTTCGCGTTTAGAGATATTTTATTTCCCTACTTTTTTTTTTTTTTTTGTAATTGTCTCTCATCGGTCTAATTTTTCTTTGTCGCTTTTTTTTTTTTTTTTTTTTTGCTTTTCAAAATGTTCTCAAAACGACTAAAAAATCTGGCCAGCTTTTCGCAACTAAATATTATTTACGTGGTCAGCAATTGAGAGCGATCGCTCCCGCTTCCCGACCAAGCCTGTATATATATATATATATATATATATATACTATATATATATATATATATATATATATATATATATATGTATATGACTGCTGACCTAACTTAACCAACCTAACTGCCAACCTGAAATTGTTTAAGGTCGGCTAAAAATTGAAGTTTTATGCAATTCAGAGTAAAAGCCCTGGTTAAGCGAAGTTTTTTGTCAAATGGACTCAAAAAAACTGTATGAGTTAGTGGTTAATGGTTTAAATTAACCAGGGTATTATTAAGGGATAAAACGATAACGTTTAACAACAATTTAAAAAAAAAGCGTCATGCTGAATTTAAATTTCAAATAGAAAAAATAAATCATTGGCTCTCTTTCACTAAGATTTTTAATTTTAATTTGTTCGTGACGTACTTGGTATTATTTAAGTATTATTTAACAATATACAAACTCCACTGTTAAATTAAACATATTTTGACTTCAGCAAAAAAATTTCACCAAAAGTATTTTATATAAAATCAACTAATAATTTTCTCTCTTGCAAGTTCATCAGATGAGCGCAATTTTTTATTCACACGCACAGAATGATCGCTCCTTCGTCATCATAAGGCCTAGTATATGTATATATATATACAGGCTTGGCCAGGTAGGGTGCGATTTTAATGTCATAAAATGAACACAATTACTATTTGTTTTTACTTAACTTGACCACAGCCGTTAATATGTTTTGAAAATTTGTATACGTTTTAAAAACATGCTAAAAAAATTATGTTAACTTTACTATAAAGAAACTTAAAAAAAAACGTTTGGAATAAATAGCTTTTAATCATTTATTGTTACAAATGTTTTTATAATATAATATTATGCGAAACCCTTTTTAAATGGTTGTTAAATAAACGCACACATTTTAAAGTTTAAATAAAAGATTCTTAACAATTCTTCGCACAAAAGAAAAAATAACTAAATCGTTTATTAAAAAAATTGATATAATTTTTTTCTATTTAAAAACATTTATGATAAAAAAATATATTATTCATAAATGTTTTTATAAAAAATCATTAGCAGTGATTTGTTACTTTATTTAAAAGAGTTTCAATAATATAAGTAAAAATGTAAGTAAAGATTAAATTTATTTAATTTAAACAACTTTTAAAAAAGTTTGTCTTTTTTTTCTTTTCAACAAAAACTTTAATGATTCTTATATAAAGTTTATCAAAGGGACCTTTGTTGTTAAAAGTTGTCGCTTATAAAATTTAACTTTTTTTTAAAATTTTTACTTTTTTTATTTTTACTTATTAAAAAAGTTTTATATGATTAAATAGTACAAGTAAAAAGTTATACAACATTCAACGATATTTTAATTAAAATCATCAGCCATTTTATTTAAAAGCATTTTTACTAATATAAAAACATTAGTAAAGGTAAAAGTGTCAAAGTTATTTATTTTCGAAGTAATTAAAAATCAATTTTTAATATACATTTGTTAAAAACTGTGGTTAAATCATCAAAATAAAATATTATATGCCTGGTCATATAAAAACTTGAAATCGCATGCCTTCCTGGCCAAGCCTATATATATATATATATATATATATATATATATATATATATATATATATATATATATATATTATATATATATATATATATATATATATATATATATATATATATATATACATATATATATATATATATATATATATATATATATATATATATATATATATATATATTTATATATATATTTATATATATATGTATATATATATATATATATATATATATGTATATATATATATATATATATATATATATATATATATATATATATATATATATATATATATATATATATGTATATATATATATATATATATATATATATAATATATATATGTATATCATATACATATACATATACATATACATATACATATATATATATATATATATATATATATATATATATATATATATATATATATATATATATATATATATATATATATATATATATATATATATATATATATATATATATATATATATATATATATATATATATATATATATATATATATATATATATATATATATATATGTATATGTATATGCTTGTTGGAAATTGGCATCTGTGGTTCCAATATTCAAAAACTCTGGAGAAAATTCTGACCCCTCCAATTATCGTCCGATCAGTCTTCTTTCTGTTATTAGCAAGGTCTTTGAGTCTTTAATCAACAAATTCCTCACATCTCATCTTGAGTCAAATAAACTGCTGTCAGACAATCAATACGGTTTTCGATCCTCTCGCTCTACGGCCGACTTGCTAACTGCTGTAACTGAAAGATTTTATCGTGCATTAGATGGAGGCCGTGAAGCTAGGGCTATTGCTCTCGACATATCTAAAGCTTTCGACAAAGTTTGGCATGCTGGTCTTCTCCATAAGCTTGCTTCATATGGTGTTTCTGGGAAAGTTTTTGAGATTATCAAATCATTTCTTTCTGACCGGTTTATTAAAGTCATCCTTGAAGCCCAACACTCTTCTTTATTTCCAGTAACTTCTGGGGTTCCCCAAGGTTCCATCCTGGGCCCTGTTTTGTTTCTTATCTACATAAACGATCTTCCTGACAACCTTTCATCTAAAGTAGCTCTTTTTGCTGATGAACTTTATACTCCTGTCTTGACAAAAAGTCTTCTCTTTTCGATCGCCTAGAACAAGCAGCTGATCTCAAATCTGATCTCACTTCAGTGGCTTGTGAATTTCAACTCTAAAAAAACCCAATTGCTTACTGCAAACAACTACCGTAGTATGGTCAACATTCCTATATTAATGAATGGCAATCCTCTTACTGAGTCCTCCTCTTTACGTCTTCTTGGATTATTGCTTACTACTGACCTTTCATGGAAACCATATATACAATCGATTGCTAAATTAGCTTCTGCTAAGGTTGCTTCTCTTTATCGTGCTCGCCATTTCCTCACTTCTGATTCCATTCTCTACCTCTACAAATCTCTTATTCGTCCCTAAATGGAATACTGTTGTCATATTTGGGCTGGTTCTTCTAACGATTCACTCTCTCTTCTTGACAAGGTCCAAAAACGCATTGTAAATGTTGTTGGACCTGGACTATCTGCTAAGCTTGAACCTCTTTCCCATCGTTGTAAAGTTCTCTTTCTCTTTTCTACAGATACTATCATGGTCACTGCTCAAAGGAGTTATCATCTCTAGTTCCATCAACTAAAATTCATTCTCGTTTTACTCGTCATTCAGCTAAGTCTCATTCGTTTTCTGTATCTTTCCCTGCATGCTCTAAAAACTTTTATTCATCTAGTTTTTTTCCACGCACTTCAATCCTTTGGAACTCTCTCCCATCTTCATGTTTTCCTGACTCATACAACCTTCAACTTTTTAAGTCTTCTGTCAACCGTTTCCTTGCTCTATAACTCTGTTCTTTTTTTTTTCCTAGTAACTCCCAACCTAATAGTGGTTGCTTGCAGCCTTGTTGGGAGTGAATGCAAATTAAAAAAAAAAAAAAAAAAAAAAAATATATATATATATATATATATATATATCAATCTTTATTGTTATTAATCTTTGTTTGCCACAATTTACAAATGTTAAACAACTATTCTATTTTATTTTTTTATAATTATTGGTCAAGTTTTTTTGTCTTTAGTTTTAAAATTTGTAAATAAATAGTTTGTAACACAACAAATTTTCTCTTAGTAAAAAGATTATATTTTTAAAAGTTCATATAGACATTGTGTTTTTTTTTAGCTGGTGCTATTGACAAAATCGATAATGCACATTGTTATATAGAAATACTTGAAAAAAATCAAATTATACACAAATATGATTTAAGATATCTTTGCACTGCATTTGAGGCAATTGGGAGAAATGATCTTGCAAAAAGAGTTTTGACATTTATAAATGAGAATGCAGAGTTTGGAAAGGCTTCAGAATTAAGTTAGTTTTTATAATAGTTTTTGATTATAATTACATGTTTTCTATTAAAGATTCTGTTCTAATTTATATTCTTGATTTTATTGCATTTACATTAGTTTTTAATATTAAAACAAGATTTTATTTTTGTTTAACTATGTTTTATTTGTGTTTGTAGAAAAATATATTGTTTGTTACATTTTTTGTATAATTATATTTTTGCAATATTGGTAATTTTTTGTATATATAAAAATATGTGTATTAAATTAGTTAGTGACCAGGACCCCATCCCCGGCTAAAAATGAGACTTTTTGCACATCCGGCCCTGGCAAAATTATAAGATTTAGCAGGGGTTGATAGCCAGTGCTCAAAAAAAATTTATGATACTTTATATATTATAGTTTTATGCTTACATTTACTATTTATTAAATACTGGCATATATTTATATATTTTTAAACTCTAATTTACTTCTAACAAGATTGCAAGCAATCACTATTATGTTATGAGTTACTTTAAAATTGAGAATAAGTTAAAATACTAGGAAATGGTTAACTGAAGACTTAAAAAGTTGTAGGTTATATAAAAAAGGGAAAATTGAAGATGGGTAAAAGTTATAAGGTTTTTTTGATGTGCTAGGAAAAAAACTGGATTAATAAAAGGTTTTTATAGCATGAAGGGACAGATACAGTAAAAGGATGCAATTTGTTGAATAAGAAACAAGCGCGAATGGTTTATCGTAATAGAGATAATAGCTCGTTTGAGCTTTTACTATGATTTGTAGAATATTTTAGTAGTATTTGTAGAAGAAAGAAAGAAATGCAATCTTACAACAATGGGGTGTGGCTCAAGGTCAGCAGATAAATCAGATCTAATTACATTTACAATGTGCTTTTAGATTTGGTCTGAGATTAAGAGGGTTTTTATTCATTAATATAGAAATGCCAACATTATTGCAATATTTTTTTTGAGTTTTGTTGTCTAAAAAAAATTGCGAATTTTACGTCCAAAGTTTAAATCCATAAGCCACTGCAAACCTTCGGCTGTTACCAACACAGCAAGCCTTCGGCTGTTACCAACACTGCAAGCCTTCGGCTGTTACCAACACAGCATGCCTTTGGCTGTTACCAACACTGCAAGCCTTCGGCTGTTACCAACACTGCAAGCCTTCGGCTGTTACCAACACTGCAAGCCTTCGGCTGTTACCAACACTGCATGCCTTCCGCTGTTACCAACACTGCAAGCCTTCGGCTGTTACCAACACTGCAAGCCTTCGGCTGTTACCAACACTGCATGCCTTCGGCTGTTACCAACACTGCAAGCCTTCGGCTGTTACCAACACTGCATGCCTTCGGCTGTTACCAACACTGCAAGCCTTCGGCTGTTACCAACACTGCAAGCCTTCGGCTGTTACCAACACTGCATGCCTTCGGCTGTTACCAACACTGCAAGCCTTCGGCTGTTACCAACACTGCATGCCTTCGGCTGTTACCAACACTGCATGCCTTCGGCTGTTACCAACACTGCAAGCCTTCGGCTGTTACCAACACAGCATGCCTTCGGCTGTTACCAACACTGCAAGCCTTCGGCTGTTACCAACACTGCAAGCCTTCGGCTGTTACCAACACTGCAAGCCTTCGGCTGTTACCAACACTGCATGCCTTCGGCTGTTACCAACACTGCAAGCCTTCGGCTGTTACCAACACTGCAAGCCTTCGGCTGTTACCAACACTGCATGCCTTCGGCTGTTACCAACACTGCATGCCTTCGGCTGTTACCAACACTGCAAGCCTTCGGCTGTTACCAACACTGCATGCCTTCGGCTGTTACCAACACTGCAAGCCTTCGGCTGTTACCAACACTGCAAGCCTTCGGCTGTTACCAACACTGCATGCCTTCGGCTGTTACCAACACTGCAAGCCTTCGGCTGTTACCAACACTGCATGCCTTCGGCTGTTACCAACACTGCATGCCTTCGGCTGTTACCAACACTGCAAGCCTTCGGCTGTTACCAACACTGCATGCCTTCGGCTGTAACAGAAGAAAGATCAGATTAAAAATCAGCTGCTTGTTGCTAAGCAATCAAAAAGTGAAGATTTTTTGTTAAGGCAAGAGTATAAAATTGAGTCATCAGCAAATAGAGCACTTTAAATGTAAAATTTTCACAAAGATTGATGTTATAGATAATAAACAATACGTGAGCAAAAATAGAACCTTGTGGTTACTTGAAATAAAGTGTAGGCCTTCAAGGATAACTTTAATACTGCAGTTAGAAAAAAACAATTTAATAATCTGAAAATTTTTATATCAATAAACTAATAACAGAGTGAAGACTAA